TTTATTTATTGTCTCCGTTTATTGTGGAGCTGAGCAAAGTTCACCGCAGTCCGTCTGCACAGACTCCTCCAGCACCGGGACAGCTTTTTAGTTCATGTCAGATTCAAGGATCAATGTGGGGAATTCCAAGTAGAAAACTGTGGAAATCAACGACGGTGGAGAGGAACGCTGGCTTTTCATTTTATGCTCAGCGAATATAACATGAATTTTGGTTTCTGTCAGGATTGTTAAGCTTTGATTTTATATTTTTTATATTTTCATTACTACTTCGCTTATTAGAGAGTAGTGTAAAACTACTATTACGCTTACCCGTTCCATTTTGGAAGAGTTAAAAGTCCAGGTTCAGTCTCTTGTGTGAAAAAAGTTTTGCTTCCAGTTGCTAAATTATAACCAAAGAAAATATAATTAAATCTACTGGACAATAAAGCTTGAGGTTAGCTCAGAAATATTTAGTAGTTAGCATAAACAAGGCCAAACATCATCTCAATATTAATAAAAAAAAAACAAGTCAAAACAGTTCATTAATAACTTCTAATTAACTTTACCTTAGCAATAATTTCCTGCCAGAAATGGCTAAATGTTAGCAACGTTTAAATATGGCTGAAAATGTATTTTTGATAGCCAAGAAATTTAGAATTTGAATTAGCAAAAGAAAAATGTCAAAGCCAAAAAGCAATTGTCATCAATATTTATCAATTCTTTAAGACTGTACTGGGGTTAGCAAAAAATATATATTTTTCGATAATAGCCTAGAACTAAACTGAGACAAAAACTATCCATCCATCCATTTTCATCCGCTTATCCGTTACCGGGTCGCGGGGGCAGCAGTCGCCACCCAATCACACTGCACCGTACCAACCCCCCAAACCTTTCTGTGGGTGGTGAGTCCACTGGAAGGTACCAACCGCCCTAACCGGGATTTGAACTTGCCCAGGAGGTGAACCCTGGGGTTCCACACCAATGACAGAGACATTGCCTCTGGGCCAAAGCGCCACTGAGACAAAGACTAGTCCTGGTTTATAAAGGACTTCTGCCTCAAAATCCATGAAGTTCTTGGAGGTTGGAACATGAACTCACACCAGCGGCACACGTGACTTGTGTGTCTGTGAACTTGTCTCGTTTTCACTGCACTTGGCAAATACAAGTTGAAGCAACACATCATGAAACAACTGTATCAGTATCACAGATCAGATTTACACCATCCCTGGGTGGAGTGTGTGTCAGTACCGGCGAGTACCTGGGGGCCACAGGCCTCCACCCCACCCCACCCCTCTGCCCTCTCACATTGAAGCCATAAAGTCTTCTTAAAATACAGCGGGCCCCTGAGAGGCCGATCGCTTTAATGATACTGATCTGGGCAAAGTGTCAAAGTGCTCGTCCGTCACATCAGCAGCGGCTGATTGTTGTTTTTACACCATTAGAAAGTGACGCTTCGATATAAAGACAAAAAGGAAAAAAAAGCTGCAGTGGAGATTTATCTGTTTTTGTCTGGAAACATATGTGAATATATATTTATCAGTTTTTATTTTTGCTATATTTTTATATCATTATGTCTAATGATGCAGTTTTTTTGCAAAGCATCAGTCTCCATCCAATCGTCAGTCTTCAAGGTTTAGATTTGATTAATCCTGTTGTTTTTATGCTAAGCTTGTCTGTTTGTGGCTTTTGACCTATTAGTAGTGTCCCACTCAGTTCTGTCCTTATCACGGCGACATGATTGCATGCTGGAGCCACATTTAC